AATTTGCAGTCTTTTAACGCGTTAATCCTTGGAAACGTCCCTCTGTTCCAAACGGAAACCATTCTGACCGCTCCGGAGATCATCCTTCACCCCAACGCCAGCGAGATCGACAAAATGTGCGTCCACTGCGTCCGCAACTGCGTGGAGATCAGCAAGGTAGGGGCAGAGGCGTCCGTCGCTTCCCAGGCGGCGTCTCGCTGCAGGTGGCGGCACCTCCCGTCGTTGAAAGCAGGTGACCAGGAGGTGGAGGCCACGGTTCCTCTTGCCTCTGTCTCTGCCTAGTGCCGCCCCGTATAGCTCCAAATCCGGGGGTGTCTCAGAGCCCAACCTGGCTCCTTTCTCTCTCTCTCTTTCTTTTTTAATCGGTTATCCTGTCTTTCTGTTGCCTTCTCAGTCTTTCCCTTCTCCTTCTATGTTGGGCTCTTCTGTGAATCTGCAAATATGTTTAAGTCTTTTTTCAATGGAGAAGAAATTACAAGGCACTCACAGAAACTTTCTCTTGCCTCTCTCTCTCCAAGCTGTGTGCCGTGTCTTTCTGTCGCCGCCACGCTGCTCTTGCCCTCCCAGTCCTGTGGCTCCGAGCAGCACCTCCGTGGCGGTGCCCGCCGCACGCGCGTCTCCAGCCCAGGTCCACGCGGTTGTCCGCTTGAATGTCCCCTGTGGGGCTTAGCCCGGGCGTGTCCAAGGTGGAATTCTTGACGTTTCCCGCCCTTCAGTGTGGTCCCGCCCCAGTTTTCCCACTTCAGGAAATGGCACCAACGTCAACCCAGTGGCTTGAGCCTGAAACCTGGGAGCCGTCCCCAATTCCTGTGTTTCTGCCACCCGGCGACACCCAGCCCGTCGGCAAGTCTCCCAGACACACCCAATCTGTCCCCTTTTCTCCTTTTCCATGTTGCCTTCCTCTCCCGAGTCATCCCCCTCCTGGCCTGCAGCAATGATGCTCCTGCAATACCTTCTCCACTACAGCTGGTCAGTTACCTTTAAGAAATACAAAGCATTTTATGTCAGCCCTTGTGTAACCACCTCCCCATGACTTTTTTTTTTTTTTTTT